ACACTGAAACAAAAGTTACGCTACAACACAGGTTAGAATTACACTGCATGAACAAAAATGAACATATTTAAACATTCGCTTTGATTAATGTCATTCCATAATAGCAATAACAAAATAATTACAAGAAAATGCACTTCAATTTGAAAATCCACAGAAGTTTACCTCTGATCCAATAGAAATAATTTATTTATATAAACATAGATGAAAGGAATCAAAAGTAAATAAAACACATACAGACTGAAAGAATTTCTTTCAAAAATTTTCCTTTTAAACACTTATTTTCAAATTCTGCTTTTTGGTAAACATGTGGGAAAACCATTTAACAAGCCCACAATGTTTTGTTTTTCCTTATGTAAATAATAAAGCATTCTTAAAAAAGTTAAAAGATTTCAGTATTACCACATATGTAATGATGGGCTTCCTAAACAGCCTGCTATATATATGTTGTTTTAGGTAACTCATAACTTAAATCAGCGAAGGCATTTAGGGAGCAATCACACAGAAAAATAATATTCACAAATGACATAAACAGAACTTCCCTTCTAAGCAACTAGACCTTTCTATATCATAGAAATTGAAGTAAAGATTTTGCCTAAATGTTCCAACTTTTTAATTTTACACTAATGGCATATGAAATTACTTCTTGTAAGCACAGCAAAGAAGCTGAATACCTGTAGACACATTCTTGCACATGCAAATTTATCTTTCCAGATTACTTATGGCTTAGACCCTGTTTGACAAAAATGAATGAAACTAATGATGTTTAAACCTTATGGCAATTGACAACTGTGATGTTTAAATCATCATGTGAATGTTCCCTCAGTCTACAGGGGTTGTGATTTAATGTAAAGAGCATCGCTATTAGACACTTAACTACGTGGTCTCATAGGTTAACTTGCATTTCAGCAATAAGCAACTCTATGTAAAAGAAGCATCATAAAGCTATTAATCCATTTTGTTAGCAAAGGTGCCATATGCATGTGGTCATGTTTATGACATAGAATATGTTCTGCTAGAATCATTAGTTTACTAACTTTTATGAATATTTTGCTCCCTAGTGATAATGATTTATACCAGTAGAACTGGACTGGATTATTTCATTAATATAAATCAAATGAGGACTATCTGTCTAACACTCACAAAATTTTGATCAAGAACATCCCAATAATGAAACAGCATAAAAATTCCACCACACCTTTACACATGGATGATATAACATTTCTCTGTGCTTTTGTAGGCACTTCATCAGTCTATGCAATCCCCAAAAGAAACTCATTTTGTTGCATGCAACTACAATATTTATTCACATATCTCTCTTACCAATTTTAGAGTAATAATTAGGAACTTATTTATAGATTTTACTTATTCACTTTACTTTTATATTACTCCCTGTATTCAATATATGGACTCCTTCACAAAAAGACATTTCTTGGAGTACTTTAAATTGTTATTCTTCACACACGCATTTTAAGTCTGCTCACTCATTTCTTCAAAATCTTACTCAAAACCATTCAGCACCCTCTCCCACAGAGATAAACAGGAAAATGAAATAGACACAGATTATAAAATCCCCAGTGATGATTAAATCCCTAAAAGTGTTAATAAAGTTGAAAAAATTCTACAGAAGTGAACATCACCTCTTATCTAGAAAGCACAACAGTTGAATGTTTTGCCAGTGATCAACCTCTAATAGCAGGTTACAATAGGATATTATGAACAAATAAGACACACACTACAATTTTCACCTTAGTTCCCTAAAAAATTTATTTCCATATGCCTGTAATGCTAAAAAGATTTAAATTACATAGCCTAACATAAAATTCTTCTTTTATTCACAATCCAAGGAAATCCAATATATAATGTAGAAGTATATATTATAATAAAGATAATAGTCATTGATTCTAACCAATAATTAACCATGAAACAATAACTAATAATGTCCTCAGTGTGTTTTTTAATAATCAAAAATTCTTTTACCACTCCCATCAGAAGTAATCTACACTGCACAATTTTCCCTTTCAATTTTCAAGTTACGGAAAAACAAAGAAAACCATGTATGTAAATACACTGTTTTTCTATTGACTGCTGATAATATACATGGGAAGAACGATATGCCATATATTACATGAGAAAAACAATGTGCATATGTATCATGTGAAAGATATATACGAGGGCAATCCCAAAAAAAAGGTCTCCTATATTTTTAGATATACAAAGAACCGTTTATTTTCTATAATTGCTACATCACTTTAAAGATTGAAGAATGCTTTATTTTTCAACATAATCGCCATTTCGGTCGATGCATTTTTGTAGACGCTGTGGCAGTTTTACAATGCCCATGTCATACCAGCTTGCCGCCATGCCCTTCAGGAAGTGTTGAGGAGCTTCAGGAGCATCCAGATGATCCTCCGATTTTTACGTATTTTACGAACTCAACGAATACGAACTCAACAATCGACTCAACTTTCGCAATTGTCTCGTCGGCAATTGACGGCCTCCCGCTCCTTTCTTCGTCATGAATTTCAGTACGACCGGCTGGAAACTCTCTACACCACTTGCGAATGTTTTTGACATCCATGCACAACTGTCCATACACTTCCGTCAATAGGCGGTTTTTTGAATTTCAACCGGTTTAATGCCTTTTGCGTTAAAAATCGAATAAAACTGCCCGCACTTCGCACTTGGCGGTAGGTAACGTTTATCGGAGCTCCATTTGAATGGCTGCCAAGCCAAGAACTGAGCATCCGAGCGAAGCGCCTGCGTGCTTATGTGGTAGCGGAAAAGGCACCACTCACAACAGTGTTGCCAACAACCGTATTAAAACTTTCTCTACATCCCCAAAAAATAGGAGACCTTTTTTTTGGGATTGCCCTCATACATAATTATGGAAAACTTTGAAATTAAAATACTATTGATACATGCATTTATAATACAAAAGAAAACAAATTCTTGCTTTAAATACTTTATTTTTAAGGAGCTAAATTTTTTTACACAGAAAAAAGACACTCTGATAGAAATAAATCTACATGCATAAAAAATAAGAGTCCAACTTCACATTAAAGGCAGATAAATGCAAACTCTCAATAAAAATCGTTATCACATTATACATAAAACATCTGAATTCACAGAACTGTTATGTTCCATCTAAAAGCCTTCCGTATTTCTTAAGTATTTTTTTATTAAAAAACAGATGTTTGTATACTGAAGAACAAAGCTGCAACACTTTCTAAAAAAAGAATTCTGATATTCCATAACAGCTAGTTTGAATTCTTACATTACATTTTTCCCCCATCTTAAGAATACCAACGTAGTAATGAAGAGTATATAAAAAGTATATTCATAAATATATTTATACTAATAGAAAATTATTTAACATTCTTAATCACACAAGAAATTATTGTCATAAAAATATGAATTTTTAATCAAAAAAAAGGGAACTAACAGAAATATAAATTACAAACCTAAAAAGACTTCAAAAACAACTAATTTTCATGGGAAGAAACTATCATCACGATTACATTAAAGAACATTTATTCATACCACTTCCTTACTGTTTTTATGCAAATTCTCTACAGGACAGGACTTGAGTGTCAAACATTTAAAGCCCCATTTTCTTTAAAATGGTTTTAAACAGAACACCAAACATGCATGAGGTTAACTATCATTTACTAAACTTAATCATAAGTTTTAACTAGATTATTTATTCAAATACTTTCATGAAGTTGTTAACTATTATCAGTTATGCATCATTCATAGCAAAGATTTGACAACTCAAAGGCTTGAACAATAATCTGCTAAATATAGAAATATAATAATAATAGCAGTGCAGAGACAGAAAATAATAAAAAGTAATAATTAATTAGAAATAAAAGAAGCTAATTTCTTAAGACATATGCATAACTATACATTAACAAAGAAATAAGCAACTAACTAGTACACAAACTACACACTTTTTTCACCATGAACTACTGTATTTGGAACAAAATTAGATATTTAAAGCAAATTCATGTTTAAAACTTAAGACGAAATTTCATACATTACACAAGAAACAAAATTTTATAACTCTTTCTTATACTGGTTTTACATTGCTTTTATAGAAGATCAATCTATGAAAAAAAAAAAAAAAAAAAAAAAAAGGGGAAAAAAAGGGACTTTGGGGAACTGCAGAAATTCAAGTAACTACATTAAGTTGCAAATCTTTGCTAATATGCAGATATCTCTACTTTTTAAATTTTATTCCTTTTCCATGAACAATTGTAAGGAAGAGATACAAAAAAAATTTCACAAAAACTTCTTACTAATTAATCTAAAATTTTAATTATAAATTCATTTCCCAGGTAAACTAATCTTCACATATACTGAAATTAACTAATTAAATTCAGCAAGAATAAAAATTAAATAAAAAATTAGTACAAAAACTTGACTTTAAAAAAATATCCCCTACAAGAATTTACTTCTATCTCAAACTGTATAAATATATATGTAAAAAAAGTTACAACTAAAATAGTATCATCATTAACTTCATATCAGTACAAATTTATATGAATATATATCATCGGAATTTTAAAATATAACAATTTTAGGATGCATTGAAAAAAGATTATTAACAATAGAACTCTAGCTTAAAAGCATAAATAACATGTTTGCTGCAAAAATATTAGTCAACTATAAAATTTATGAGGTTTTAATATATTTATATATATTATATAAAAAAAAAAAAAAAAAAAAAAAAAAAAAAAAAAAAAAAAAAAAAAAAAAAACCTCATTTCAATGACAATTAGCATAGTTAGAATATTTATTTTATAACTACATATGAATGAAAAAACAGACATAAAAACAAGATAATAAAGTAAAAAATTTGAAAACATACATCAAATTGATTTAATTTCTTTCAATTAATTTCATTACTAATTAATATTCTACATTCCTTATATGTCTTAATGTAGCTAAAAAGTTCAAAAATCCATTGAGATTTTAATAAACAATTGTAATATAAAAGGACCAGTAGGAAAAGAAAATTTATTTTTAAAGTAGCCATAAGGATATAATTTACATTGAATAATCTGTACCATAGGAGGCACCTGTACATATCAACTCTGACTTTAAATCAAACTTGTTACGGATAACATAGATGTCATGAGTAAAAGAAGGTTATGATGCACATACCTGCAAAGAAATAAAGAATTCAAGACTGATGCATACATTTGCAGGACAAAAAAATTAAAATTTTTAAAATTTTTAGTAACATAATTAACATAGTAATATTTAACATAATTTTGTAATAATTAACATAATTAACAAAAAAATTAAAAAATTTTTTTGCAAATGTTTACTTTTAAAGACGAATGTAAATAAACAAAATAAAATAAAAACTAGTACTACTCTTTATAGATTAATTCTGGTTGTAAATACAATGAACAGAAGTAGAACATTTAAAAAATATTTATTAATAAAAGTTATGCAGTCAATTATATGTCAGGTTTCATGCAATATATTACCAATTAGATCATTACTTCCAAAATTTTAAAAGGGTGTGTAATAATTTTTTTTAATTAAGAAATTTAAATAGATATTTTATAAGAAATATTTTTACACTAAAAAACTGTTTTGTATATCTTAAATCTTGCAGTATCTTAAATTTTCTCAGTAGCAAAATTGTAAATACACCAAGAGAGACAATTTTTATAATTATGTATCATTATGACTTTACTAACTTTCAAAACTACAGATAAAATGATGAAATTATTTTTCAGAAAATTTGCATGAGACAAAGATGAAAGTTATTGATTTTAATGCAATTAATCCGATGAGTTTGGAAATATTTTGGTTAAATTTTTATATCATGAATGGATTTTTGTGATATGTGAAGAATTAAATTCAACAATTACAAACAAATTGTAACTTAATTACTAACAACACACTATACAAAAGCTCAACAGGTGCATCTTAACCATACAACATGAAATTATAGATCAAGTGAAATTCTGTGTTACACCGATTTGCAACACATTAATAAATTTGTTTGTCTTTGATATATACAACTTTTTCTTACATTTTTCCTTTAATTAACTTTCCAGAACTTCTAAAAAGAATGGCAAAATCTAAATTTTTATTCTGACAAAAATTTCATTTACTTTATTATTTCAGGAGAAGCCTATTCATGTAATTGTGTTTGTGCATTACTTGACCACACAGCAACACAATTACATGAATAGGCTTCTCCTGAAATTCTATTTTTATTTTACCTGATCAAATTGAACAATTTTCTTGACCACACATAATGAATTAATTATCAATTATGAGTAACCGAATAATTTAATATATTGGCTACAAAATATGACATATCTAAAAACGCTACAAAAATCTTAATTCTGCTTACTCAAGATTGAAAAGCAAATGAAAAAAAAAAAAAAAAAAAAAAAAAAAAAAAAAAAAATACATGTACAAAATATACATCTAAACTATGTGTGGGCATTAAGTTGATCATGATCAACCGGTGGACTACCCAAGACACTTTCGGGTGACCGCCTTTATTAAAACCTAAGATGCGCATACTAAAAGAAATAAATTTATGTAACATCAATGCAAGCTAGACTGTAGAATCGATCTTTCACAATTGATGCGACTATGTTTACTTAATCAAATGATTCGATGAATGTGTAGACGACACATGTACCTTCATTGGAAGTGCACGATAACTGAAAATACAAATTATATATTCACTTTATCTCCTGGGAAAAACTAAGTTTTTCTCCTTCAAAATGACAAAATTTTAAAAACATGTAGTTCAGAAACTAAGAATAACTTTTGGAATTTAATGGACGAAGTAAAATATACTAATTAAAAAAAAAAAAAAAAAAAAAAAAAAAAAAAGTCGCATTTCATTTAACATCATTCTTTGGCTCTACCTACCTGTGTAAATCTGCATTTCAATGGTGAATATAATTAAGACAATGTCATTCCCATCTCACAGACGACTGCTTAGAATCCAGTGCAAGTTTAGCAGTTAGTAATTATATACCAAGGACTCAAGGTTGGTGGAGAGTATACGAACTGTCTTCTACTATCACTACAAGAACTAACTTTAGATGAAAATTATTTATTTTTTAATGCATTTTGAATTGTTTGATAAGAAATGTATCACTTGAAATTATTACATTTGTGGCTATTATTATTATGTTTGTATCTTGCATTTTGCTTTAAACATGTTTTTAAAAGATTAATTTTTATTTAGGTAGGGTTAGGTAGGTAAGTATGTATTCCGTATTTATTAATTAGTTACAATAAATATTGTACACCTTTCTTTTAGCTCACCTCACCTATGCCACTGAGTACACCGCAACACCTAGAAAAAATTAGTAGCTCGTACCCTGGAAAGGTCTACCCACCCCTGATCTAAACCATTCAAAAAAGTAGATAAGGTTTCTGAAAAGAATTAATTTCAAATTTATTACAATAGATCATTCAAAATAAATGTTATTCCTAAGGTATTTTAGAATGAAATGCTGAGAATTACAATAGATTGAAAAAAGAGTTTGATAAATAATATAGTTATTTATTATAACATAAAATATAATCATAAAGTGTAGTGAATGGCAATTATACTTTTAAAGAAAGGGTTTCGTTTATTTAATTACGGCAAAGCACACGAGGGCTATCTGCCTAAGGGAGGGATGCCTTCGTGGAGGACTTTCTAGGGGAAACTGGCTCTTTATACACGTTACACATGGGGAAAAACACGAAACACCCATGCAGTCAGCCTGTTCGCGGGATTCGAACCTCGGACCAAACTACCAGTGTTCAGCGACTTTACCGCTTGGCCGCTGATGGGCTTTAAAGACAGGGACTAAAATAATAATAACATTTCTAAATAGAAAAGCGAATAATAGCTCACTAACAACTTGACAAAAGTGATATCGATTGATAAAATTAAATCAGATACAAAATGAGTAAAATACTTTGTGCCAAAATAATAATAATAATAATAATTACAGTAATTCTTTTATCTCTTTTCTTTTAAAAGAAGGCAGTTTTGTTTACTGGTTATGAATGAAATTTTGTTATTTGAGAGGACTGATCTCTTTCTTTATACATACACATGTAAGTGCATGTGTCTGTAAGATAATGAATAGGTATGATAAGATCTAATTTTAATTTGTTGTGTTTTCAGGAAAATTATTTCATTTTAGCTATTCTTTTCTGGAAATAATCAGTCTCATTTTTAATTTGGTTATTTTCCCTATCTATTTAAAAAGAATAACGTGCTTATAATAAATCTCCCCAAACTGCATCAAACTCCCTATCATATAATAAAAATTACTCGCACTCATGTGAATCTTATATTACATCATAATTTTCCTTACATATACACATATAAAACGTCCCTGACTTTTTGCGAAAAATTCCTATTAGTGCAAACGTTTTGAAATAAATTTATATTTTCCCCACTTATTTTTCATTTTCCTGAATTCTTTCAGAATTTTTTAGATGTGTAGAAACCTTAGGATAACACATCTCAGTTAATTTATATACAGTAAATATATTCAAAAATATTACGTAGTATACCTCGAATTACGTACGTATACCTCAAATGACTGAACATAAACTCAAGTTCCAATTTAAGTAATTAAGCAGATTTTCAGACTTCAGAAATTTTGTTTACACAATTTTTCCATATAAAATATGCAAAACTTAAATTTTCATATGACTTCGAAAGAAAAAGAAAATTTTCAAACAAAAATGTTTTACATATCAAAATTAATTAATTAAATAAAATGTCAACTCCTCCATTCTTACACTATCAAAACTAGATATCATTTACACCATCAAAATTAAATATCATTTATTAAAAGTTTAAGGATTGTACACAAATACTTTTAAAAATGGCATACGAAATCGTAAAAGATGCCTTTTATCTCAGGAACACAGATTTCAAACTTTTATTTGCAAGCTAAAATTGAAAGCCCTTCTCCAATATAACACAGCCTTATATGATTCCTAAAGGAACACCTACATTTTTTTTTTTAATTTTTATTTAATTAAAGTATTTTCAAATTGCATAAATTTGACAATTTTTTCAGCACCAAATTTGCATGTTCAGAATATTTTAACAGTCTTGGACGGTATAATAAATGAAACTGCAATTTTTTTTAATAGATCATCTTGTAAAAATTCCAAGAAATTTAAATTTCATCTATTTTTATGAAACTGTGACAACCAAAATTATCATAACTTCACAGCGTACTTCATATGATTGATTTCTTAGATCAGAAATTATGGTTTAATACCTAGAATTAGAGATACATTTTAATAATTCTGTATGTAAATTTGAATAAGCTTTACATGGATTTAGGATAAATGGATTTAATAATCTAACTGCTATTATAAACTTAGAACTAGATTTTTATTTGCATTAGGATTTTATTACCTTATGCAAAAATATAAAATATTGCAGACAATAAATATTTAAGTAAATTGTAATTTTATACACTTTCATGTTGATATGACTTAGCATGAACTGAAAGTTTTTCAGGGGCAGGAGGCAGACTTGTGCCAAGTTATTGATAGCACTTCTTGTCAGTGCTGTAAATAAATTGGTTTGTACTTTAGTGCTTCTTGTCAGTGTTCCAAACCAAACGTGCTGTAAAATTCACAAAGAACATGGATCTTATGTTTGAAAAAGGGAAACAAATAAATCATATATTGCACAACAGTTTTAGTCTACTAACTATAAATTCAGCTTTGCTTCTGCAAAAATCAACCAAAAATATCCATTATTGGCAAATTAGATTTCATTAGAAACTGCAATATCCATAAAAGCATCTCTGCATTAGTAAAAAGATTTAAATTATAATCTTATTTTTCTCCAATCCATAAAGCGGTGAATTTTGAATATGATTCCATTTTTCATTCCTAGATGCTATTACTTGCTTTGTTTCTTTCCCTTATCTTACTTTCTCCCCTTATTATAGATATGCAACAACTATGAATTCTTGAAAATTCCTTGATCTTATTCTGTTTTTGATACTTATCTTTTCATTTAGTTGCAGCTGAAGAAGGCAATATGTTCAATTTTTGAAAGCACTTCTAAAACAACTTCACACCAATTAACACTGTTTCTTTGCACTAATCAAGGGGCTTTCTACAATGCTAAATTACTCTCTTCCTTCGAATTCATGTACAATAGAAAACTACATATTAAATAACTGTAGCAGCTGTTTACACACTTAAAACGCTTTGGTCCGTTATAATTTTTTTAAACCAAATTCTTATTTTTTCTTAAAATAACATTTGTTCCCTTCCTAGTTCTTCACCTAAGGCGAATGTTTTACTTGTCTTCTTGCCTTAATCTTAATAAAAAATCTGAGTTTCAAATATTCTGCATAAAAAATTTCTTATAGCATATTTAGACATTTAGCTTCGTTTTACATAAAGAAATTTTCATCATGTAGCCACAGATATAAATATATATATATATATATATTTTACCCAAAACCACAGCAACTGTATACTTGCTCTCAGGTGACAGCTTTGGAAGTAGACACCATGGATATTGTTCAATATTATCCGGCAGCCACAGAATTACTAGGAGTATGATTATTACCACCAACAGAATCTGTATCTTGGTTGTATTTCCTAGAATTCGAATTCATTTCTACATTTTTAAAACATTCGTATTAAAAAAAATAATCAAGAATTTTTTAATTACCTTCTATACAAATTATTCCCAACACTGTAATTTAACTACATTTTAAGAGATTATAATAATCAAATACAATTAAATATCAATCATCCCATTTAGTCAGTGGATCAAAAATATGAAATTAATTATATATTGAAACCAATTAAAATTTTATTGTAATATTTCTGGAAGAAATTGATATAAAATATACTTAGTGCCTTCTGCTAAACTTGACAACTTAGTTTAAAAGTAATAAGTATATGACAATTGAGATCAAAGAATGGAAAAGGGATTTTAGGGTTTCTTATGCATTACAATGTTATATTTAACAGTAGCAAGAAAACAAATGGATTTTATGGATTTCAAAAAATCTGTATCAAAACTGCATTAATAAAAAGAACATAAACATGAAACACATACAACCTCTTTTTCTATAACACAGTTCTTCATTTGCTCGCATGCTTACTTTTTCAAAAACAACTGCTTTAATAGTTGGTTAGCAACAGTGGAATTCATAACAAAAAAACAAAGCAGCAATAGCAGAGCGATAATCAAACATAAAAGAGAAATGCAGTGTTTGAATCATTAAATCTTGTTTAGTGGAACCTCAGATCACAAATGCTTCAATTCACAAACAGTTTGGTTCACTAATAAATTGAGGAATAAATAACTTGGATAATGAACATTCTCAAGTTACAAACATTCAAGTTGACAACCTTTGTTTTACAGCGATGCTTTCAGGTAACTTGTGCCATATAATTAACTCTCAGTGCCTTTTGAAGAAAATCATTTTAAAGTTTCCCTTTGCTTAACTGTCATTAACAAAGCCTAGCAGCAAGTGACTTCCTGGATCATGATTTTGGCCTAGAGAAAAACTGTGGCCAGAGTGGGTTGCCAGTAGACTCTGAGCACTTAAGACAATTTTGTTGTCTATGATATTGTGTCTCCAGGAAAAACCATGAGACCATGAGCTTAAGACGTTAACAATGAAGACATGCATGAGTTACTAGATCATGATAAAAATGAATGCAGTAAGAAAGAATTACAACTTCCAGAAGCAGCAATTGAAGGTGAATATGGGAAAAATGTCTGCTGAAGAAGATAAAGAGAGAAAAATGATCCTAATTCTCTGACCTGGGGAATTGGTTCCAAATGGGGTAGAATGCAAAGCATCAGTGAACTACACCACAAGCATTTTTAATGATAATACCATGTTTAACTTTAGAAATATTAAATTATGTTTCTGTCTATTTTATCTGTTTACCATTGTGCTTGTTTTTTTACATATAATGATTTCCATCGGTTTTTGTTTGTGCACTAAAAATACTGTAGTAAAATTTAAATAAGCAATCATGTGTGGTTCAGGAAAGAACATTTCAGTTTACAAAAGGCCTTTGGGAATTAGTTAAGTTCGTGAACTGAAGTTTTACTGTATTACATAATGAATGCTACTAAATAAATAAATATATATATATAAAACAACTAAATAAATAAATAAATATATATATAAAACAACCTTTTTCGTGGATACCTCTAAGCAAAACAAAGCAGCTACAGTAATCATGACTTCATTTTTTATCAAAACTTTTAGAATGACACAGCACATTCATACATTCCAGCCTAGAGCCTAATTTGTATTCAATGTGTGAACGACATTTTATACACAGTGCATATTTTTTATTAACCAATCCATATTTAACTTAGAAACTATAAATATAAAAAAACTTAGCAAAATACTTAAATATATGAAAACTTCTAATTAAACATGCAAATGATTGAAAAATTTAAGTTACATCATATTTAATTAAAAATTTTCATTTTATTACTCAAGCAGACACTAAATCTATTTTTGATGAATATTTCAAATCTCAGATAATCATATAAAGGGGAATCAGAATTTCATAAACCATATAGTATCTGTACAAGTTTTGGGGATTCTGATTTCTGTAGGAAAATAATTAAAATTCTATATAGGAACAAGAAATATGCATACAATTATCACCAAAAATATTTATAATTTATTTATAAATTGTGAAAGTAAATGTTTATAAGTAGTGTACTTAGCAATACTTAACTATTCGTTAATATCGTAAATGTGAACATTTTTGAAAAAACTATAGACGAATCACTGACTACACGGTACAATCTATTTCATTTTAAAAAGTAGATGAAATTCAATTACAACAAAAAAATTACCGGTACTTACATATTAACGCAACCAGGCCAAAATTCGCATAAATCGCCATCTGGCGACCCTAAGTGTTACAACAATGCGTAGTTTTAGTACGAAAGAATTTATTTGTAAAAAGAAAAATAACGCTGGGCGTGTACTACTACAGCATATGGGTTTTCGGACGGAATTTGCCGGGGAAAGAAAGAGACTTTTTTGGTTACTGTACCTAACAGAGCGCGTCACCCTCATGGAAAAATTTGCGAAAATATCAAGGAAGAAAGCATCATTTATTCAGATTGCTGGAAAGGATACAATACAAGTGAGTTCGAAAATACTGGATTTCTGCACGGAACTGTTAATCACAAATATAACTTTGTGGATCCCAACATGGGCGTTCACACACAACATGCAGAGCGCATGTGGGGCTCAGCCAAATGGCGCAACAAAAAACAGAGGAACAGCCCATTATAATCTTGACTCATATCTTATCGAATTTATATGCCGTCAAGTTCAAGCTGTTAATGGCGAAGACGGTTTTCAATCAGTGCTAAAAGCAATAGCCAAAAGATTTCCGCCGAAAAATAATTCTGCAACTTATTCAAATTCGAAACTGGAAGGGTTAATGCTATTTTTATATTTTAAAACAACAATAAATATAAAAACTGTATTAAAATTATCTGTAATTAAATGTACATTTTCTTTCTATTCATACTTTTTACTCAAACTTACAAATTGCGCCAACCTGGTTGCGATAATACGTAAGTACCAAATTACCTTTAAAAGTAACTTTCTTGAAATAACAATAGCTCAGATTTGCATACATCTGACATGTTATTTCTGAGTTATTAAGATCAGCTTAGAAAATTCGGTGCAGTTTATAGATAAAAAGTATGTACAATACAAAGCCCAAGATCCAGAATCGGTGGAACTTCAGAGATTCTGGATTATTAGATCTGAGTATTAGATCATTAGTTTACATTTAGTAAATGACATGTAAAAGTTATGAATTGAAAATATGAAATAATGAAGCATTTATGACCTTAATGAAATTAAAATAATAATAATAATAAATGAAATAAAAGCTTGGTATTCATTTGCTTGCTTTCTTAAATATGTCTTTCAAAAAAAATTTTTTTTTTGTTTTTGTTATTGATATATAGAGTATTATTTAGAGTATCATCATAGTTAAATTAAATGTACCAAATATTTTATTCTTACAATACAAGTTAAGTATGATATGGCGTAAAGGAGTCTTTACAAAGTGGAAGCTACCACATTTGGCAAATAGGCCAGGTTTCTTTGGTCATGCATTTATTCCCTAATTCCTTAATAACACTGCAAACATAAAAAAAAAAAAAAAACATTTAAAATTGGGTTTTGTTTACCCAATAAGGAATGAAATCTAATCTCTGGGAGGTACCTGCCCATTAGGACAAAAAGAGTTTTAAAAAAATGTTTAGACAGCTGCATGGGGTAATGAAAGCAAAAAATAATAAATAATGATTCACCAGGTTTGCTTCTGTCAAGGATATAAATTATTCAGCAGATGTAAAATCAACGATGTTTCAACATAAAATGCTTCAGTTTGACATGTACACCAAGTAAAAAAAGGCAGCCATGAAGCCAAATCATAGATCATACTGAGTTATGCTAATAAATGATTGTTTATTCAATCTTTCTTGTACTTTACTTTGTGCTGAAACTCTGGACATATTTTATTATGAAAAAGTATCAGATGCATAAACATAAAGCATACAAAAAAAAAAATTCTAAAAAAGGGGGGGTTGCTGGTGATTCAGAAGTCTGGATATTGGATGTACGAATTTTGAACTTTGTACCATATTACAATCAACCTTCTATAGTGCAATTTACATCTCAGACTGATTTTATCTACAAAAAAAAAAAAAAAAAAAAAAAAAAAAAAAACATTATACTGGTAGCTTCAGCACTTACCCTGTTCAGTATGGGTGTGCCACATGTGCATCAGCAGTGAACATTACCTCATGGCCAGGTGTGTCATATTTGAATCACCATTTAATTCACTCTATGGCCGGGTGTACTACATTTGACTTTTTAGACAGAATGTTTAATTAGCATTTTTTGTTGTCACCAGATGTAGCTGTATGTCTGTTATGGAGGAATAATCGAAAGTTAAGTATGTGTACCATCATTCCTATGCAATTTTTTTTATTTTTGCTATTTTGTTTCGGTACCAGAGGGAGTTTCGTGGGTGGGTGTTGAGCAATGTAATGTCTCTTTAACTGCCTCATTTGATATAAACAAATGTAGGTGTTCTCCATTTTTTTTAGGTACTTTATATTTTTATTTTTGCAATACAGGTATTTGAACGTAGAAAAATACACACAAATGCTAATTCGTTAGTGTTGAGTAAAGTGATGGCTTCTTACTGCGTCATTTCATATAAACAAATGAACATGTTCTTGATGCTCTGGAATACTTTTTAATTTATTTATTATGTTTCTTTTTATTTTTTTATCCCTGTATAGTGGAGTAGATGTTCTATCATTAGAGACTTTTTTATTACTCTTAGATTTTTCCGGCATTGAGACGAATATTTTGTATGGCTTAGCAATTTTTTTTTTTTTATTGTTCCATTGCTGGTGTATTATTTTTTTAATGACAAAACAAAAGCGCTATCTGACTGTAGAAGATACACAAATGCTAAATGAGTCAAATTTGCTGATATTCTATTCACGTGACATTTGCAAAGTTCATCATACACTGTCTCTTTTTTGAAATATTGCTTCCTTTTCGTTGTTTGCACATTGAATTTTTATGAAAGACAGTTTTAATATTTTTTAATTTTAATTATGTGTTGTGCTAAATAAAATCTGTGACTGTTTGGATATTTTTTAATATACAGTCAAAAGTTTTTAATCTGAACTCATCGGGACTTCGGCGATTTTGGATTATCGGTTTTTCTGGATTATAGATCATCAGTTTAAATCTGGTAAGATGGCATGCAGAAATTATAAAATTAAAAATATGAAACCGTAATTTATGAAATAAAGAGCAATTATGATCTAAAGGGTATTAAAATTTACAAAAAAAAAAAGCTTAATATTTATTTGTTTACTTTATTAAATACTTCTTTCAATGTGTGCAATATTAAAACATACATTATGCATAGTCGAAATTAGAAATTGCAACCAGAAACTATTTGATGTGTAATCGTGTGATATTTATAATGACGAGGAATTTTGATTTAAATCATATCAAAGACAGAGTACATAATCGAGATAAAATACTACACTTAGTAAGGAATTATAAGCCCAATAAAATAAAAACCATCTGCCCTGAAGATAAGATGCGAAGTAGCTGACAAGATCAACTTCCAGTTCATTGCGCGCCGCGACGCTTTTTCCCCCTCCGCAGAGAGCAGCGTGAAATTGATAAACAGATTTGGAATGGTTAGAGAAACAAAGGATATGCCTTTATCCATTTTTTTGCAGCAATTCCACTTTTTGTTTGATGGACATCAAAACATGCTTTCGTTTTGTAGATCCTTTGGCAGCTCCAGAATCGGAAATTCTTTTGACATAATCGAAAGTTCAAGCTTACTTTTATAAAATTGCTCTAACAGTCTGCAAAAAATAATAAGTCGGATCCAATTAGAAGATTAAGGAACAATGCAATCTGCAATATTAACTGAAATAGATAATTAGATAATTTTAGCTTAGCTTATACCGTCCGTTACACATTAAACGCACATGCGTAAAGGTATTATACACATGCTTAAATGCATATGCACATACGTAAACACATTATGTGTTTACTAATGTGCAGAAAGTTTGTAGCTTTGAGGTCCGATTTTTAAGTGAAAATCTCTACGTTTTATTATGGAACGAAAAATCAAATGTGCATGCGAAAAGCAAACATCTCCCCCCCCAAAAAAAAACCTTGTGGCTTTGAGGTCCGGATTTTAGATCATTCCGGATAATGGACGTCCAGATTTCGGACTTTGTACTGTATTACACTCTCATAGCCAAGTTTGTTTATTAAATGAGATAAATTAATATAATTGCATTTTCTCAAGTGGCAACACAATTTTTTTTATCGTCAAGTTTTCTGATTCAATTTAAAATATATATATCTTATGCTTTGCTGTGTGGCAATGTAAAGCTTTTAAAATCACCAAGTTTTTAATTAAAAGTTCATTAAATCAGAGTAAAATATATGTATATAAAGAGTACAGACCCATTTGAGAAATTTTATGTAGACAGTGGACCTTCCTCTTGTTTTGAAGTTCAAGTGTGGCAAGTTTCATAAAGAATGGAATTAAATTGTATATTTGTATAAAAGCCTAACAAACAAACATTCACTTTTATATACACAGATTTCTATTTTAGTAGGTTTGTTTTTTAAGTGTAGCAAGTTATAACTGCAAATTAGCTTGAAAATTAATAAAAATTCTTACGTCTATGATTAAATGGGTTTTGCCTCAAATGACCATGAATAGCAGCATCTGCTTCCAGTTGCTGGAAGCATTCAGCTTCTGAAGAAGGATCAGTAGTTCTTTCTTTTGGCACACTGGCTAAAAGTGTGATGTTAATATCTTTCTTCCCTGCAGCACGAACTTGACCAACTCCAAATAACTGGACACGAATTTTGTCTGATGCACCAAAGTTAGCAGGTGTAATGGCTTTATGTTGAAGTATGCTAAAATAAAAACACTATTAGTAAAGTACTTTCTAATCTTGATATATTTTTGTACATTTAAGAGTGATAAAGATGTAAAATGCATACTATATATATCTATTGTTAAACAGAAAAATTTAAACATGAATAGAAAGATTAAATATTAAAATGAAATAAAGCAATAATGGTTTTAAAATAACATCAAAATTTGGAAAAATGCCATGAATGAGCATGAATGGAATATCATTTTCCACTGCTGTATAAAATGGTTTTCAAAAATTACGGATCAATTTACCCCTTTAAGAACACTTACATAATTTTTATAAAAACCATTACGGAAGAAATTATTTCTTACTGAGCAAATTTAACAGCAACCATGTTTCTAAATGAAATGCATGATTAAAATTATTATTTCATTTAGAAAGCTAATGCTGTTATTTACTTTTTTCTAATAAGTTTAAATTTTAACAAGCATGATATATATGAAGTTATGACATAAAACACGTCTTGCAGAAAAATTATTGCCAGATAAATTTTTTGAACAAGCTCCCAGCGATATCATTTAGTTCTTTTGGGCAGTAAAATGAAACTATGTTCTTAACATAGTTCATGCTTTAATGTTAAGTTTTAACACTATCAATTCTTACATCACAGTTAAATGTGAAAATTTTATGAGGTTCTTGTAGCAATACTATGATATTTGACCAAATAGCCACATTAACAACATATAGTCTGGATATACAACTTATTTTTTATCCAAAATACTAATTAATTTCTTTAAATAACAATAAAGTAATTAGTACATTTTTGCTCCTGCCAAATTATTGGCATGGAAAAAAAATTTTCTAACTACTTTCCACTTTCCCTTTACTTAAATCAATAAATCCCAAAATTAGACATTTATAATTTTTAAAAAAACACTTTTCTCCTGCTCATTATTCAAAAGTAAATGGCTTAACAAAGGATCTCAGCACATTTATGATGAGGGTCTAGGCAAAGGGGAAGGAAAAGTTACTACGAAATCTCCATCCTGCAATTACCCTTTAACTATCCACATTCATTAATGTATTACGTCAAAATTTAAAATTTGCCTAGTAATAAATAATTTTGTTGAAAGTGAATAAATTACTAAAGATGGAAATATCAAATATTTCAATACATATTATTAAAAAAATAATACTTGAAGCCTATCCCAAATGAGTACTACCACTTTATTAGGAATGACACCTTTTTGCAGAAAGATCAGTAAACTCCACAATAAAAATTTAAACTTTCAGGGTTTTATTACTAACAATATTTACAAACACACATAATTTTTCTTTAAAATTTATATTTAAAAAAAGTAAGTTTAAATTAAAATTTTGAATTTATTTCATTTCAATAACTTAGAAGGGCTATTAATTTCATTTTGTGTTGAAAACTTTAAATGCTGGTTCACTTTTCAAATTGTTGCCACCAAATGTTATCACCCTGTGTTATATTTAAAGAAATCAAATAATGAAGAATTTGAATAAACAATATGTATGTTTCTCGTATTGTGATGAACGGTATCTAGAGCCATCAAATTTTGAATAACGTAATCTTCCACCAAATATGGACATCTGGAAGTCCTAATTTGGAAATTGAAATTTGTTTTATTATTGATTTCATATTTTGTAACACTTCAACGAATTTTTGATTAACAAACTCAACAATTTCAAAGCAAGCAATGGCAACACTGTACCGGGGGGGGGCATTTTCATTTCCAGCGTGCAAGACTGTGTATCGGAAATTCTAAAAAATGCTCATTTTAAAATTATTTTGCAATATTGCTGTTGAATTGAATTTTTTATGGTTTAAGTGCAAAGAGCATTAATAAATAAAGGTAACACACACAAAAAAAAGTCCCTTTGGGCATAATGTAAAAAATCTGAAAGCTTCAGATTTCTTTCCCCCCCCCCCCCGTTTTTTTAACAAAATTAAAAGGGAAAAAAAAAAAAAAGAAAGGATGACTATAGATTAGTAGAAATTACTCCTACTTAATTCAAATAAATTGCATACTATTGTATTAAGTGCACTGAAAAATTCACAAATTTTTCTTTAAATATGCATGAACCTTACAATATACCTTATTTTCTCCAATACTTTCAAATAAATCCCTACTGCATAGAAACATTGATTTTAATGCTATTCCCAAAGATAAAAAATTTAAACCATCTTTTGATATAATAATTAGCATCAACTGTGATTCTTTCTAAATTTTATTTATATAAATTTCCAGAGGTAAAAGCTTCATTTGCTTCACCTTTTCAGTTTGATATTTTTTATCAGATAATAGGGAAAAGTTTCAAAGAGATAAATCTGGTGAGAAATGAGAATGAAGCACAATCAAATTATCAGATATGAAAAACATTTGCCTGACAGATGTACCTGTGGAATAAATTTGTCATTAATCCATACATTGTTCCTTCAATAAACTCACTAGGTTTGTTCTGATTTGAGTGTGCCAAAAAGATCATCTTCGTCTTCATTTCATACTCGAAACTTTTTAACAATTAAATGGCTAATGGTTTACCATTTGGATGAAAAATTCATCAAAAAATTGCTACAAAATTTTGTGGGTTTCTCAGTCCTATTTATTAAGTCTGTAATGATATTTAATGCATATATACTGTTCATATCAATATGTGGCAATATATATACTGTTGCAATATCTGTATTTTGGGGGAAAAAAATTTTTTTTGGTATCGTCTCAGTTTATTTCTTACCTGCTAGGGACTTAAATGCACATTTATTTAGATTGGAAGAGATTTTAAATATATATGATGATGAAAATGATTTTATTGTTATAGGTGATTTTAATTCAAAACATTTTAGCTGGGGGGGACACCTATTGTAGATGCAAGGGGAGTTTTAACCGACAACTTTATTGCACAAAATGGTTTAATTTTAGTAAATGACTCAGATTCTAAACCTACATTTTTTACCTCAGTGGGAGAAGGTTGGATGGATTTAGTCTTGGGTTTGCCAAGACTTGATACTCAGGAAGTTAATAGGAATATTTTGGATCAGGTTTCTCTTACCGACCACAGATATATATGGATTGAAACAGAACTAGGGTTGAAAGTGATAAGAAATTTATTACTACTAATATTAATAGAATTAAGAGATTTAGTCGAAATATGAAAAGGGATTTATTAGAAATGGAAAATGAGATACTGAAATCTAAGAATGAAGAGGAACTGAATAAAGTAGTTTCACATATTGAGAATCATATTATAACAGAAATGTAGAAAAAGCTGAGAGTGCAGAAGAAAGAGAGGGAGGAAAGAACTCCCTGGTAGAATTTGTAACTGGATCAAATAAGAAGACAAGTAAGAGCAGCATGTAAATGGACACAAATAAAAGGATTGAGAGATGATATCAAGATTGCACAAAAAGTCGAATATAAAAAAAAAAACCTAGCAAACTATAAAAAACTTATCAGGCGAATGAGGAAAGAATATAAAAATTATTTGTTTATGAGAGATGTGAATTATTATGATGGATTCTTTAGAGTTGCCACCGCTAAAATGAAAAAGAAAATGATTATTGAGGGAGATAGTGAAGCCCTCGATGACATCTATTGAGAACAATTACAAATAAATTATCGAAGATACTTTATATCTTAAGAATTTTAATGATAATATAAATGAAGACGAAATTATTATGGAGCAGGATGAAGAGGAGAAAGAGAAAGACTTTGTTTATAACAAAATTTTGATTGTGATGAAAAGTCTACGGATAAGGTCTACTCCTGGGTTGGATGGGGTCGGAGCCACATTGTTGAAGATATTGTTTGAGGATTGTCCTTCCTTTTTCATAGTGTTATATAGTAGATGCTTGAATTTGACTATATTTCCAGATGTATAGAAAATTGGAAAATTAATGTTGATTTCCAAAGGATAAAGGAGGATTTCGTCCAATTTGCCTACTGAAAACATTTGCAAAGATTTATGATAAACTTTTAGTTAATAGACTGCAATATATTTTAAATAAGAATAATATTATTTCTGAAAGGCAATTTAGTTTTAGAAAGGGAAGGTCAACTGAATTGGCTCTTTATAGAGTCATATCTGGCATTAGGGAGAAAAGAAAGACTACACATGTGGCTCTGGTTTCATTTGACACCAGGGGTGCTTTTGATAATGTAAGGTGGCTCTCCTGATGTGACACTTGAAGAATATTGGAATTACTAAGAATATTTATGAGATTATAAAAAGTTACTTTAAAAGGCAAAAGATGGTTTTTAAGGGTCCATCTGATAATTTGAATCTGGTTTTTGACATTTACAAAGGATGCCCCCCAAGGCTCTTCTGTTCTGGGCATCAGTGTTAATGACTTATTGCAGAAAGTAAATATTTTGATTGTGAGATTGCCTGTTATGCCGACGATATTTTGTTTATGGTGGAGGGAGATTCTCTTGAAAAAATGGAGAAAAGTATTTCAAAAAGTAGAAAATGATTTGAAACAATGGAATGAAAGAAAGAAAATATATTTTAATAATGAAAAAACTTGTGGACTTTTATTTTTCCTCAGTCTAGAAGAAAGACTAGACCCCCACAATTGAAATTTAAGGGTAATCGTATCAAATTTGGTGAAAATATGAAATATCTAGGAATTATTATTGATAGCAAATTAAGTTTTTGGAACATTTTAAGCATATACATAGAATTACAGATAACATTTTAAAATGTTATAAGTATAATTTTAGTGCTGTTACTTTCAATAGAAAAGGTTCCACCCTGAGAGAGAGATTTAAAAATGTGATCATCCCTAAAATATGGAGTCGGAGCTTGGGGCTGCCAGGCGGAGGAGGTACTTGGAATTACAATAAAATTAGACACCCTGCAGAGAGGCTAAATGCTTGCCATTAAAAGAGCCTTCAGAAGCGTTTTGACTGAAGTTGCCTGCATCCTTGAGGGTGTTCCACCCCTCTCGATTTTATACAAATTATGCTACAAAAAGTTTCTATTAGCTAATAAAATTATTATAGAGACTGAAATTGGACAAAAAGTACTCACAAGTAAGGCCTTTCAAGAAGAGAATGCAGATATTATTCACCCTATGACACGATTTGGATTATTTTATGATTTTGAATTTTCTTCTGGTGGCGAAATAGACGTTTTTACAGATAGTTCTGGAATTCATGGGGGAGTGGGTAGCGCTGTGGTAATTTATTTTCATGGAGTGAAGATAGACAAAGGAAGAATAAAACTTAAACAAATGAATTCAGTTTATCAAGCAGAACTTTACTTTATGCATTTACAGAGGCTTTGAACTGGATTAATAAAAAATTAACGGTTTGATGTTTTATAAATATTTATACTGATGCCCTATCTGTGCTTCAGGCACTTGCCCAAAAAGATTTTAAAAATTGACTGATTAATGAAATAAAAGACTTGTTTAAAAAGGTTGAAAGAAAACATATATTACACTGGATGAAAGCACACAGTGGAATTGACGGAAATGAAAAAGTGGACACCCTTGTTAAAATGGCGGCACTTGGGGATCGGATTGATAATTTTGATATTCAAGATTCAAGAAAAACGACCATTGCTGAAATGGAAAACTAGATTTATATAGAATGGAATTTTCGCTGGGAGTTGTCTAAAAAGAAAAAAGAGTTAATAAAAAATATAAAGTTAAACAAAAAGATGAATATTATAAATGATGTTGATATAAATCATGTTTTGACTAATCATGTGCATTTCACGGCTTATTTTAATTGGTTTCATCTACAGAATAATGATAAATGCTTAACTTGTGATAAGCTGGGGATGACAGGCACTTCATCGATAAATGTATGCTTATCCAGAGTGCAAGAGAGATATATAGAAAGAATTTTAAAAGGAACTATTCAAATTTGAAAGATTTTGCAGAGACAATAATGAAGATTATAAATACGAACAAAGATAGAATTGGAATTCGGCACTGAGACTCAGATTTTGGACTTTATCTGTTTTTGGTTATATTTGTTTTTTTCTGGCCAGTCCCATTTTTTTATCATACGGCCGGCTTGTGTCGGCTAGAAGGATTGGGGCTATGCCCTTATAATAAATAATAATAATACTGTTCTTCATATCATCTACCTTCATGCATAATATAATCAGAAAACAAATTTAGTGCAAAGTTTAAAAAGCAGAAGATTGCCTGACATGGATCTGCAGAGTAGCCTAACCTAGAAAGGGTATGTATAGTATTATTTGAGCAAATACAAAACTTTGAAAATCTACACATTTTTACAAAAATTTAGGCACCACGTTATAAAATCTGGAGCCTAACAAAATGTTTCTGAATTAAATAATGTACCTTGGCCATTATTAAATTTTAGTTCCACAAATTTAATTTTTAAAAATTAAATTTAATCCTTATTATGAAATTCTAAGCATGTAATATAATATCAATACACAAATTTTTCAGATTTGTCCAGTAATGGAGATTTTATATATATATATACAATTATTGAGATAAAAATCTACAAAAAACATCAATTACATAAATTAAATAAAACAACATAAGAAACACAAAATTAGTCTTATTTTCAAAAATGATTCCTTTGTTTATTGGTGAAATTATGAGATAAGATATTCTATTCATCCTATAACATAAAAGCTACTGAAAGAAATAGAAAAAAGAAAAAAGATTTTACTTACACATCCACACTGTGGTTGGATTTTATTGTACCCTGAGAAGCTGAAACTGTGTATTTGCTGCAATCAGTGGATGATACTATAAAGTACATGGGTAAGAAAGAATAAGTATAAATAGTATTCTGAATCGGGCACTTAACTGTCTAAATTATTACATGATAAAAAAATACCAGTAAGAACTTTTAGGTACTTTTGTAAAAGAGCAATCACTTTGGAGCAGTTTGCAGATTTTTTACGAAAGAAAAAAAGATTGATTACTGATAACTGCAAAAAAATTACTTGTTATATGCATAAATATTCCCTGTTTTAACTAAGTATTTATCCTGAAAATCAATTAAACATACTTGTAAGCAGATTTTTTATTTCTTTTGAAATGGTAGAAATTTTATAGCAATTTCTTTCAGATTACATTCAAAGGAACTGTTCCGTGTAGCGATTTTACAGCAAAATATTGTACATCAGCAAAAATTTTATGCAAATTTCTCCCACTACAAGGAAATCCCACAAGTGCATTTAAAAGAAAAAAAAAAGGTCAGGATTTGTTTATAAAAACCCCTGGAACTTATAATTCAACAACCAAAATGAGAATGACAATGTTGCCCGTTAAAAATGAACTGAAGAATTACTACGGACAAGGTTGCAAGAGTTTAGCACATTTTGAAAATTTGGTATCCTATTAAAATGGTTACATTAATACGTAAGTACCCTCCTCTTTTTCTTTTTTTATAATGCACGTTTAGAGAACCCGTTTTAAAAATCTTTTACACTTGAGATTAAAATAAAATACTCCTATACCTAGTAGCACTAACCAAAGTAACATTAAAAGAAGTAAGGTCTAACTTAATTTTGCAATACCAATACAAAGTCCGAAATCTAGACTGATCTGAAATCTGCACTTCTGGATCAACAGCAACTTTTTTATTTTAATGCTTTATGCTTGTGCATTTGACATTTTTTCATAATAAAATATGCGGACAGTCCTGATTCTTGGTTTCACTTCAGCTCTGACATCAACCTGGCAAATCATTATACAGTCAAAAGTCGTTAATTCGGACACCCATAATCCGGACCTCAAAGCTACAAACTTTCTGCGCATGCCTCGCGTTCACATACGCACAGGCGTTTACGAGAGTGCGTAAGACCTTTACGGCTGCGAATATGTTTGTGCGCATGCGCGTTTAATGTGTAACGGAGTTATACGTTAAGCTAAAATTATCTAATTCAGTTAATGTTGCAGATTGCTTTGTTCCTTAATCTTCAAATTGGATCCGGCTTATTATTTTTTGCAGACTGTTAGAGCAATTTCATAAAAGTAAGCTTGAACTTTCGATTATGTCAAATAGAATTTCCGATATATATTTACTAATATGTAATTTTTATCTACAAAGCGAAAGTATGTTTTGAAATCCGAAGTCTGTTTATCAATTTCACACCCCGGATTGGAAGTTGATCTGTCAGCACTATCCTTATCTTCAGGGCAGATGTTTTTATTTTATCTGGCTTATAATTCCTTACTAAGTGTAGTATTTTATCTCCAAGAAAGTGACCCAGTGGTTATTGAAAACGAAAACATTTCTATTGACAAATTAGTCGGTATTCTCAACAAGCAATTTATAGTACTTGAACAGCGGAACTTTGTAACTAAATAAGAAATTATGTCTGTTTAATAGAATTAAAGAGAAAGTATTATCACATGAAACAAAGCAACTTACATTGAAGGAAATGTTTAATAAAGTAAACAAATAAATATTAAGCTTTTTCTTTTTGTAAATTTTGATACCCTTTAGATCATAATTGTTCTTTATTTCATAAATTACGGTTTCATATTTTTAATTTTGTAATTTCTGCATGCCATCTTACCAGATTTAAACTGATGATCTATAATCCGGAATCGCCAAAGTCCCGACGAGTCCGGATTAACGACTTTTGACTGTATATTATTTTTTGCTTTCATCACAGCTAGACTATCAACAAACACATATTGCAACTTGAGAAATGACTCCTGCAGCGATGTCTAAATATCTTTTTTTAAACAATAATAACTGAATACCAATGAGACTGGAAACCTTTTATGTTGACATTACACTTGGCAGTGATTACAAACTTCAGCTAATCCGGTTCCAAAGTGCATTGGCAAGGAGAAATTTAACAGAAATATCTTTCCATGTCCCGTAATTGATTTTGTAGATAAAACTCGTAGGCCAAATGATTACATTTAGTGGTGTCTGAATTAAGAATACCTGATTTGTTATTCAGATAAGGCCAGGACCAGCACAAGAGCAAGTGTGGCCATACCAAGGGCCAGAACTTAGGAAAGGTAAAATTTTTATAAGTTAGAGAAGCACTGTGCAACAAAATTATGAAATGACAGAACCTTAGAACTAAGATAAGGTACAAGGATGTAAAATTTTTAGAATTTAGAGAGGCACTTGGCAGCATAATTTCAGATCTGCAAGAGACTGCACCAAGCTGCAAACTGTCTAGCTCCAGCCCTGGATAAATCTTTAAATATGTATGAGAATTTACTTATTCAGAACTCAGATAAGCCTCAAACATGTGCAAGAAACAGTTGTAAGTATACTAAATAATTAAACTAATACAATTCAGGCTTAATTTCATCAGCATGCAACAGACAAAATTTAGCAAAATAACATGACTTTCTTCACCAAACTCGTGATAATAAATGGCAATAATGTATAGTGGACGTTAGCTATGTTTTATGATGATAGCAGTGAATTTGAATGTTTTCAGATATTGCAAACAAAAAGCAAAATTTTCCAATTAATGAAATTTATAAATAAATATAGAGAAGCAGTAATAAATGAAGATGATATAACTGAGGTTTTCCATTGCTATGAACAATATCAATCAACTAATGGATGCTGAAATCCATAGTACAGTGCTAAATTCAGAAAATATTTCCACCAATAGTGAAGAAAGTGACACAAAGGTTCCAGTATTCTTCTGCTATCGGGACAGGATTCAAAAACATATACATGCATGTATATATGTATTCATGCTTGCATGTATGTATGTACATATGTATGTGTGTATACACTCACATATATATAAATTCCTTTTTCCAAATTATCCTTTACTTTTGTGCCGCAGTGTGTGTAGAGTAGTAAAGCCGATCAAAATCAATATAGATTATTTTTTGATGGTCTTTGTATTTCTTTGTATGGCTTATTGCAGCCATGGGGGCACATACACACATGAAAACATATATACATTTCCAATCTCAGGTCTGATAACAGAAGAATAGCAAGGTTCTTGAGAATGAAAAAAATTTCAAATGATAATTTAATGGATGCAGCAATTACAGGAATGAACAATAGAACTTTATAACCGAACAAGAAATTATGCCTGTGTACAGAAGTAAAGAGAAAGTTAAAACAAGTTAAACTACTCACATTGAAAGAAATGTTTAATAAATAAATAAATATTGCCCCCACCCCCTTTTTTGTAAATTTTGATCTCTTTAAAGTCATAAATGCTTCCTTATTTCATAAATCACTATTTCACATTTTTAATTTTATAATTTCTACATATCATTTTACTAGATTTAAACTGATGATCTAGTATCCAGAAATTGTAAAAATCCCCAATGAAACCAGATCTTGGGCTTTGTACTGTATTAAGTGATCTCCTAAGATAAAATAATTATGTTAAAAATTATACAAAAATTATTTTACTATGATGCTTCATTAGCAATATATAAAACTTATTTTACAACATAACACCAGGATATTTTTTAAAAAAAATACCTATTATATATTATTTAAAAGCTATTATAAAAAAATATGAATTATTAATAAAACAAAAAATAAAATTTTTAAATAATAGAAATATAAATTATTTACTTCTGAACTTAACAGGAAAGTCATATGGATTAAATATAGTCAAAATTTGCTTGTGTGTTGAAGTATCATCTGCATAAAAAGTAATCTGTTGTTGTGGTGTAGTGAACACTGGCAGTTTGTTTTCGTACCCACTCTGGCCAGGCATTTGCAACTGATGTACCAGGTGATGGACATTGGCTATACTAAATTAAGAAAAAATATTTATTGCATATCATAAACTGAAGTTCAAAGCAAATAAATATAAAAAAGAATTTTAAAACCTACCATTGAATAATTAACAGTTTTGTAGCAGCTACTATGAAAGAAAATCACCACCTTTATGATAAATAGACAAATATGATTGCTAACGGAAAACCAACCTTACTTAGCACCTCTTGTACATAGCCTGGTCTTTCAAGACATACACTGCTCTCTAAAAGGTCAAGGAACAGCATGTTTTTTCAGTCTAATTTGAGAATGAAGCAACACAAAAATAAGAAATTGGAGGACATGTTCACTAAACAGTTCTTTAATGAATGTGACATTAAATGTTTCTAAAGTTTAACGCAAACATGAATTACAACAAAAAATTGCACTTTTGGCAGAGAAATCCAGTGCTGAAGAAAGGGTGCGTCACAGTTTTTTGAGGAAAAATATGTGGTCACATTAGAAGAATGCTTTCTAGTAAGGAATGTGTCCACTCCTAGCTGCAACACACTAGCAGCAGGTGACATTCCATGCTGTCAGTTAAGTTGCTGGTCAGTGAAATGGCAAGGAATGACAAGTCACGAAGTAATCCTTGTTCAAGCACATCTAACAACCTTGGAAGAAACTGCAACCTATCTCCCAAGGTAGTCCCAAAGATGCTCTATCGGATTCAGGTCTGGGGATTGAACTGACAAGGTATGAAGTGAATATTCACCATATTCTCCAGACCATATTCATGGTACTCCCTACCGTGATTTTCATCAGAAGAAATCCAGGACCAATAGCAGTGACATATGAGAGAACATATTGATCAAATATCTCTTCTTGATATCTCACATTGGTCAAAGTTCCTCTATGGAATATATGCAGGTTGGTGTCATCACTGAGAGATATCCCCGCACCACAACATTATTCCACCACCTACCTAACTGTGCCTTTCCACAATGTGAGATGTGAGATAGGTTTTATCTGGTGCATTTCCAGATCAGCTGATGACCTGACTCACTCTCCAGTATGAGCCTGGAAGAGAACAGATGTCCACTGTTGACTGGTCCAGGTGATGTGCTCTCTTGCCCAACATTAAATGGGCACCTGTGTGTCCTCGGGTCAAGGGGACACAAACAACTGGTCATCTTGCATACAGACCTGTACTGTGCAGGTGTCTGTGCATTTTAGTAGCTGAGATTCATGTTCCTGTTGTCACTAAATCATCTGCCATAAGCTGAGGCACACTAATGTTGCTTCTCCTTCAGGCCTAAAATCCTAAATAACGGTCTCCTGCAATTATTGTAACTCTTGGTCTCACAGGAATATATTTTCTTGACACAGATCCTCAGATTTAAACTGATTTCATAGTCGGTGGACTACATGATGAGAGACACTGAGATGTCTAGCAGCATCACCTAGTGACAACCCTATTTCCATCCACTCGATCACCCACCAACTCAACGAATTGGGTAAATGACTTCTCCTGGAAATTAATAGACTCTTCTGAATGAAAAAACTGCTAATGACAACAGAACTCATGCACAACAACTCATAAGCAATAGTACTAACAATTTTTGTATTTTCCCTCCAACTCATATATAAGCATTAATTTCTATAAAATAAAAGTAGTAGCTATTGTTTTTGCATATATTTTCTTAAACTTCATTACTATCATACATATAAATTGTGAGTTTAAATGTTTCCGACATTTTTGTAACGGTGAGCTTTGTTCCTTAAGTTTTGGAGGGCAGTGTATATTTCACATATCACAAACAATCTGGAAGATGCAAGGATAACTGTCTTAATTCTTTCAAATTTGTAATATACGAGCAATTTTCAATTTACTGAGAAGTTAGAAAAATACAGTAGTATTCTTTAAAGAAAAAAGCATTTTACCTTGTTACAGAATACATAAAAAGGGTCACAAATTGCATTTAAATATCAATATTTGAAGATATAATGTTAAAAAGTATAAGTGGAAAGGCATTATTAAAACTATATGAAAAAAAAAAAATAATTTTCCTGAATTTACTTTCTTCATAAAATTTTTATTATCATGTTTTCTTCTTGGTAGCTTTTTCCTGCTGCAAATTTTATATTTGATGATTTTTTTTCATAACGACTTCATTTATTTTTCTAGTTTTGGTATATATTTTCAGGTTTCTATAATTTTTAGTTTTAATTTCACATTTCTTTAATTCTTATTTTGTATATTTATAGGATAGTTCGAAATTACGTAAAAATTATTATTGCTAATTATGATCTAGGACTACCTTGTCTACAAAGAAATGATGTGATATGTACAAAAATAAATAGTGCGAGTATTCGAATTCAGTTTTGCCAACGTCATCTTCAGCCAATACAATTGATTAAGCAGCAGGCATTAAAATATCTATCAAATATATATATATGTTACTGGCAAAGTAAGAAATCCAGCATTTTGTAGAATGCCCAGGCATTTTATAGAATGCTGAAAACTGGCCGGCAATGTATGAAACGATTAAACATTTCACACATTGCCTAGACATTTTATGGAATGTCAAATGACAAACCGGCAAAATATGAAATACATCTGCAATTCTTTTCAAATAACCAAAACTACTTACCAGAATAACTTCTGGTAAGTAGTTTTGGTATTGTAATAAATGATGTAAAAAAGCCAAAATGACTACTAAGAAGGAATCATGAGCCTACTGGTTGCTGAATCACTATGTTATGATGTTTGTGGAAAACAAAAGTAAACTCATTTATCCTGTTAAAGAAGGCATCAATTATTTCACGTATTTCATGAAATTCATTTTGCTGTTGGGCAGTGAGGATCTGACAGAATGTTGAAGGAACTTTAAACCAAATACCACGGAATGATACTGAACTGCACATCCGACTTGGAATTTCTGAAGGAATTTTAAAATAAATATATGCAAGATCACAATTCACTTTATGCCCTAAGAACTCAATTAGAATTAAAGATATTCCTGACTACAAAATTCCCCTTCGATCAATCTAGTGAAAGCAGTCAAGGATTCATAAGATGTATATGTGAAACAAAGTGCCAAAATGTGAAATGTCTTTGCATGAAAAATGTACTAAAATGTCATTCAAGCCTACCATTTTGCAACAAGTAAGTTAATTTTAATTTCTAATTTTTATATGAAAATTTTATTTCCTTTAATAAGAAAGACATAAATTTTGTTTTGCACAACTTTCATATTTCTTAATATATTTTGAACAAATTTTGTTTAGCGGCACTCTCATTATTTTTTTCAGAATAACATTTGTATTTTTGAGGAATGCATGTCATTTTATATAATAGCCTTATCAAGACCTTTTTCATATTTTACCTAAATAGCATTATTATCATTCTATAGAATGCCTTGGTATTGCATATTATGCCTAGGGAAAGTATGTAATAATTCTCATATTTCATACTTTGCCAAAAAACGTCCAGCATTATATACAATGCTGGCGTTTCATACTTTGCCGGTAACATATGTAAAGAATATACAAAAAATAAAAAGTGTTAAAATGAATGAAAGGAGCAAAAGAATATTTCACAGAAGCTGAATATTGTACACTGAGGTACCAAAAATATTGATACAGCTGTTTCTACTCAGAATACACAGTAATATTATTTATGCACAGTACTGCTTGTGTCCACCATTGCATATGCATAATAATAAACATTTGAGGAAGCTTCCAGAGATTTTTCACTCCAAAAATGGTAAGTTTTTGTTAGTATGGCAATTTTTAATGCCATATAATAAGTAGAGCTTCTGTGATGAGTACTTCAGCACCGAAAGTTTGAATTTTCACTGATTATGATTATTTCACTGTTATTATATTCAACAGCATCAAACAGTTAAAAAGAACTAGCAGCGTTATTAAAATTGTAGTACATTAAGATAAATGTATTTTAAAATTACACAAGTTCAGCTATAACATTCAAGTTTATTTAAAGGTTACTGAGCAGCAAATTCCAAAAAATGAAATACTTTATAAGAATATATTAGAGAAATAAACAAAAGGAGCTGATTTTATATGAGAAGCTATGATGTAAGACACAAAAGGTGGGTTTACAACACGATGTGTCATAGTACTGTCTTTCTGTTCATTCCATAAGATAGATCTCACTTACTTTTAATGACTTATATATGATAGAAAAGATCACTGATTGTCTGTCTAAAACTGCTTTTAACATTTTTTTTTTTTTTTATCTTCAGAAGTCTCCATAAGATTATCATCAGTCATTAGTATCAACAAATTTCACTAACATAACTCAGTTTCTGGATTAGATTTAGTGCAATGGTTATAGGTTTTAGCAAATATAATAACTATTATACTTCTTTAATAATCATGACATTATTTACCATTTCAACCACTTCTTTTTTTCAATGATTTGTAAATAGCATGGACAAATGTCTATAAACAATTCCAAGTGACTTGTGATTGTTTTCCCTTGTATTTCTAGTTTCTAGCATTTCTTGTTTCGTATTTCTCTTTTCAAAGCATCATTTCTTTAAAGAAAGTGATGTGAGATAATTTCTGTAATATTTCTCAACAGTTACTTCATTACAAATTAATCTTATACACAAATTTCTAAAAAAAAAAAAAAATGAAGACATTTACTCTTTTTTTCATTACTAGAATTATATGCTCATTAAAGCAATAATTACTTATTTTCATTACTAATGTATTAATTAAAATATATAAAATTTTTAAACCTAAAAATAATTTAATAAATTACTAAGTAATATTAATTAATACACATTCTAAATATTTTACCAATTCCTGCCATTTTTTAGATTCAACCAGTTATAACCAGATGCTACCATATTCTGCCAGTTTCAACTGGTTTTAACCAGTTTCTGCACCTTTGAGGACAAAAATTCAATTCTGCTTTGTATTCCACTGTAATCATTTAAACCTTGCAACTTATAAACAACTTTTCTATAATTTTAACCATGTAAAAAAGTTTAATCATACCAACAACAGGCAATCCAAGCTTGGTTTCAAACATATTGTATCGAACAGTAAGGAATGTCCAATAAATTATCAGTTTGAACTTTAATTTCACTAGCTCCGAATTATGTGGGATTTCTAATGCTGTTAGACTCATCACAAAAAATACTTAGCAACATGTGATTCAGAGGAGAGCAGATGATCTGAAGCTGATATAACTTTAATTTTACTAAATCAATTAGAAATACTTCAACATTGCAAAATTCTGAACTTATTTACAATGAAACAGAAGAATAAAGTTAGTTATTACTTTATGGTAAAGATATATTTCATACTGTAAAGATATGCAAGTGCAAGGCAACGAACTTTGCGTAAAACTGCTCATAACAGCAGTCAGAAAGTTCTATTGGCCTAAGAGGAATATGATGAAAAATATAAACATTCAATACATTTTTAGAAACAAATAGATTTGTAAGGAATTTTTTTTTTTTAAATCGTACCAGTCTGATTCCCCAAGAAGAACCTTTATTTACTTATATAAGAGTACAATACTAAATATTTAAATACAACATTTAAAAAAAGGTCCTTTCGCAAAACATAATTCTTCACCCCCCCTTTGCTTTTAATCATACCGATTAACAACCGATAAGGAAAAGATTCAATATGTTAGTAGTCCTTTAGCAAATTTCAGAATCACTATGTAGAAAGTTTGTAACTGGTTTTTAACTTATCTAGCATGATCGATTATTTAAAAATTATTTACAGACGTATACAAATTATATGCATATTTAATTAACTAAATTTAAGATCGAAATGAGAAAAGTCCAAACTCAAACTTTTAAATTTTACGTAGTAATCAGGGATGAAAAAGCGTAAGTTAGACATAAAATGAAGCTATTTACAACGGAAATGCATTCACTGGTCATTTTTAAAAATAAAGCCCTTACCTATAAACACTACGCCGTACTACTGTTTTCCTTCGTTAGTTTTTTTCTTCGCTTTGTTTGGAAACAGCTGACTAGCATGGCTACATGTTTGTCAGTATGATTGCATTTTTCCTGTGCTTGCCAGATGTACTCGGCCTTGAAAACTCAGTTTCCGATACCATAGAAACAGGGACTGAAGATTGGAAACTAGGATTCTCATAAGAAATATTTAAAATTTTTATCTCTTATAACTGTTTAGCTAACTAGAAACCGATCAATAAAAATAAGACTTATGAATTATTCCATAGAATTAATGTAACAAAATAATTCCGTAGTTTTTAACTAATTTTTTTTTTTGTTAAGGTTTTTTGTATTAATGCTAATTGTATTATATTTGATAAATTGTATTTTATGAACTTTTTAATATTCTTAAAACTTACCATAAATATATTGCGATTTTCAACAAATTATTTCTGTCCTAAAACTTTCGGTTTCGAAAACCCCTCTCTCTTAACCTCCCCCAACTTTCCTAGATCTAAGGATCGTCTTCTCTCTTCGACAAAATTGTTTATTTTGCACTTCTTTTAGTAAAAACTATAAATATGCTTACTTACTAATTAATTCTAAATTATTATTCATATTTTGAAACAATTTGTCATGTATATGGATCATTTTTATCACATTTTATCAAGAAAAATGTCCTGTAAGGACGAAAGAAACATTTGGAAGCACTTGCCTGAAATTGTGGATTTCATTTACAATAGATCAAGTATCTACGTTTCAAGAACACATTTCATTAATTAAAAAAGAAAAATTTTTAGTTACAGAAAGGCATCTTCTCAATTGATTTACGGGAGAGTGAAATATTTGTTATTACTGATATCAAGGAGCAAACTAAAAATGTTAGCAGACTCAGTTAAAATTAATAAAGCAAGCTTTTCGAATTAGTTGAAAATTTCTGTGCAATTTAATTAGAACATAACGGGTGGCGGTATAATTTATGAAATATTGAGAAGTCGAAATGGTTGAGGAAGACATCTGAGGGCAAAAACTTAAGGAAGCACTCATCCCACCAATCAAATCAGCCAAGGACCAAGGAAGAGTTCTTAGGCATGTAGCCTTTATCCCCACATCGCCATAGAATTATCTTTATCGCCAAGAAGAGGGTTTCGCAAAGAGGTAAATAATTTAGTGCCAAAATGTTAATTTAACAAAAAGAGTAACTGCCTTCCACACAGTGAAAAAAGGTAAAAACACTGAAGGACTTCAGGAAACTGAAGGGAAACACTCGCGAAAAACTTCATGTCGCAAGAGCTTCGGGACTGGGGGAGAGGAAAAGGGGAACTCGTTAGGCGAGTTTGAATTAAAGAGACACGGCAGCAATGCCTCTGAGGAAAAAATTTTATAAATATAATAAGATTGCATTAACTTTAAGTATTATGCTAACTAATGTAAAAGCATTAAATTCTCTTAAGAGATTAAATTTAAATTAAGTAATCCTTGCACCAGAACCCTTTTAAGAAGGGAACAAACATGTGCTTAGACCCCGATAACAACCGCTTAAGTTTGAAAGAAATGAGATTGCTCGATTACGGGACAAAGAGAGAGTGATTCTGAGGGAAGCTGAAAGATCAGCGAATTCACTCAGGCGGGGGGTGGGGAGGCGAACGAGTCTATTGAGACCTTCGAAGCGTCTCGTCTCCATAGCAACGCCTGTTGGGGAAAGGATGCGCATTATATGCGTTCTCCAGAATAGCTCTGGGTCTCTTTTTTGATGATGCCATTCCCGGATGATAAACAGGGATGCTGTGGAGTACAGGATTTCGATCAAGGAATCTTTGGAAACGTTCGCCGTGCTGTATAAAGCGTTTATGGAAGAATTTTGGCGCATTATGAAGCCCTCGTTCGTAACAAACAAGGAGCTTATAAATTGCCGTAGCTAATGTGCTGAAGGGGATTGTTCTGTAGTAATTGTGCTGGCCTCATACCGGCTAGCATGTCAGAATTGGCCTTCCTGATTCATAGAGCAAAATCCCTGTGTTCGTGGACAGGTCGCATTTCTAGCGAAAAAAGGCAGGTGTTTTTGACACCTTCGCTTGGAAATTGTTTTTGAATGAATCAAGTTACGAGGGTTTATCCTTACGAGAAGCGGGTGTATGAAGCCGTCTCATCATACTTCCCTTCGCTTACGCTAATTGAGCTGCCCACGCAATAGTATAATCTCCTTAGGAGAGCTTCTTCTCTTAGCTTCGTTAATTTTCTAGCTTATCTCCACATTTCAAGTCATCCCGGTCGGGAAGTGAAATTTTGTAGTCGGGGAGCATTCTTAATTTGAAAAAAAGTGCTACCAAGCTCAATTTTCTTATCCATTAGCGTCCAGCGGCGTGAAGAGCGCTTCATGATCTTTTGCCATTGTATTCTTCATTGCTGTTTCGCTTGTAGAAAGCACATCAGCTGTTTATTAGCAATTGCACAGGTGAAATTCCGCCAGTATCCCACTGTCACATTCCATCATTCAATATTCATATCTATGATATTTCTCATTATTATCGCTAAAATCCCCAGAAATCGGCTGCGTTGGCGGGAGTGCATCAGACGCACGTCCTACCTCCTTTGCGTTCATCCTCGGAATCCCCCCCAATCAAATCAAAGTGAGATTCTTCTAATCTATCAATGGATCGCCATAAAAGTTTTTAATTATGAGGCCATAAAAGTTTTTAATTATGATGTGTGGGATAATGAGAATATTCGCGTATCTGTTAAGAAGTTACAGATAATTTTAGATGTGAAATGAGGAAAACATTGCTCATATATTTAAGATTTTTAAAATACTGTAGAGTTCATTCTGAGTCTCGGACTACTCCATTGGATATTGGCTCCCTAAAAACCAATATAAACACCGATAATGCTGATGAAAACTTCTCTAAATTCCTCCATAATGCTAAATCTCAAGTCACAAGAGGTTCATCGACTGCAGAACGAGCACAAACTCCTGCCGAACATCAGGAAGATTATCTCTTAATTATGACACACAACCAAGCACATCTACACAACGAACACCTCCACCACAACAATAAAGCTAAAGCAGTTCCGCTCGTAAAGGTCAAACCACCAGAACACATCAAACATAATGCCTACCTTAAGCAACTAGCTAGCCAAAGCTCCACCAAGTTCTTCGGCAAAGTCACCGGTTCCCTAACCTACCAGATGACCATAGAACACTTACCCAATTTCTAAAAGATAACTCCATTGAACACTACCTAATTCATGCACTCCACCAAAGATCCGTTAAAATTGTCATTCGCGAACTTCCAATTGAAATGGAAACTACAGAAATCACTGAAATTCTTACAGAACAAGACAACATTGTACACAAAGTCGTTCCAATGACTAGAAACCGCACCAGACAACCTATGCCACTTTTTTAAGTTCAACTGCTTCCTAAACCTAATATTAATGAAATTTACGATATTACACACTTCTCATTATTCATAGTCCAAGTTGAAAAATACAACAGCAAAAATATCATACCACGATGCCATAACTGCCAGAAATGGCACCACTCCCGCTACTCTCACGAGGGTATATTGGAATACATCCTCGTGAGTATATTGAGTATTCTCACGAGGGTATATTGAAGTACGGGTCTTCATCGTCAACACTAATAAGCACTTCCAACCAGACGAACTTTTGCCGTCTTATCGTTCGATTTACTATTTTGTTTAAGACTTTTTAATTCATCAGTTTCCTGCACTTTAGATAACATTCGAAAAATGCAAAAAGTGTTTTACTGGGATAGGGCTATGCCCAGGCGCCCAAGGAAACTGAACGAGAGTTCACCGAAATCGTCTCCGTAAAGACTTTGGCAGCACTTGCGACTCCAATAACAAGACGGGGATTAACCGGCTTAATCGCAAAATTAAACAGCAAAGCTAATAGATTAAAGCTCATAGAAGTAGTATGTGGCAAAATAAAATTGAGTCTTTGAACTACGACGCTGGCGCCATCTGGTGGCTGACACTTAAACAGCCAAGCACATGCAAAAACCCTCTGAAATGCGACATGGGCCTCATTTATTCTGATAGAGAAAGGACTTAACTTTTTGCCGAACTCTTTTCCCACAGAGAACGAGTCGGACACAGGAGTTCTGATTTCGTCCAACGTTGGCTCAGCTCGCCTAGTGCACATAACAGCAGTAATTTCGCCTCTCCATAAAGCTAATACTATAATTAAAACCCTGAAACTAAATAAAGCCCCAGGAAAAACGAAATCACTAATTAAATGCTACAAAAATGTATCGTTCAAGCTTATTTACAATATACAATATATAATTTGCATTTTCAATGCTTGTATCCACAGTTATTATTTTACGTAGGCCTAGAAACAGGGTAACATCTTTATGATTTCTAAAACAGGAAAAACGCAAAATATCCCGGCTAACTACAGACCAATATGTATTTGCTGTCTTCACTAAGCAAAATTATCGAGCGGCTAATTTGTAATAGAATGCAGAAAATCTGGACTTTTCTAGCTGATCATCAACACAGTTTTAGAAAAGGCCTCTCCACTTCTACCCATTGGTTCGCCTCACGGAATTCATCGTTTTTGCTCTACCAACAAAATGAGTGATGCAATCCTGATGCTAGGCGTGGCGAAAGCTTTCCACCGCGTCTCTGAGTCTTGCTTCTAGGACTTACTTACAAATGGATTCATCTCAGATTCCCCCGGGAACTAATTTTAATGATAAAATCATTTCTAGAAAATTGGACTTTTACGGTTGCATACGGGAAAGAAATCCCCAGTGTCAAGTCTATTCACGCAGGAATTCTTCAGGGGTCAAATTTAGGACCGTGTTTTTATATTATTTACACAAGAGACTTTCTTGATTTTAATGCAAATGCTAATACCCTTCTGGCCTGTTACGCTGACGATACGGCTCTCGTCATCAAATCGAGAAGATCAAACCATGCTTTAGCAAAAATACAGGAGAAAATTCTAGAAATCGAGAGATGGAGCAGCAGGTGGAAGACGTGAATTCAACCAGAAAAATCGAAAATACTGCTAATAAGGATATATAAGAAAAGGGACACTCTTACGTCAGAAGTTAAGCTCTTCGGAGCCCAAGTCCCGAGGATGAATTCTGCTACCTGGCTATCACCTTCAACAGAAATT